ATGCCCTTCATACAATTTTTTTGCAGATATGCCCTGAAGTTTGTCTGAGATTTAACAAAAAACCTGTGACTGACATCTTTTATTCCCAAATGTATTGTTGTTAATTAGGTACTTTCTGCATGTTCTGTCTTCACAATCTTTCCTGCAGTGGAAAACATGCTCCATGTTGTCAGACAACGTTGTGAAGGCCAGGATTTTAAATGCCCTTCATACAATTTTTTTGCAGATATGCCCTGAAGTTTGTCTGAGATTTAACAAAAAACCTGTGACTGACATCTTTTATTCCCAAATGTATTGTTGTTAATTAGGTACTTTCTGCATGTTCTGTCTTCACAATCTTTCCTGCAGTGGAAAACATGCTCCATGTTGTCAGACAACGTTGTGAAGGCCAGGATTTTAACAGGGTTCAAAAAAGAGCTAGATCAATTTATGGAGGAGAAGATTCATCAATGACTGTGTAGCCAGGCTGGGCAGGGCTGGTGTCCCTGGCCTCTGTTAGTCAGAAGCTGGGAATGGGCGACAGGGAATGGGCTCCTTGATGTTTATGTGCTCTGTTCATTCTCTCTGGGGCACCTGGCATTGGACACTGTTGACAGACAGGATACTGGACTAGATGGACCTTTGGTCTGACACAGTCTGGCCATTCTTACATTCTTTAGAAAGACAATTGAAAAGCGTGTGGGGGTTTTTCAAATGGCATTTGCTACATTTGGGTTCCAGGGTTTGGTTGTAAAGGGTGAGCAGAGAGGAACGAAAGAGCGGAGGGAGACAATGGAAGGGGGCAGGTCCTAAACACAGCCGGGGTGGAATTCAAGCAGGGCCACAGGTTGTGGAGCTTGCCTCCCCGCACCGCCCACACCATGACGGTTTGTGCTCTACACTTGTGGTCACTAGTACTGAACGACTGTAGGATAAAAAATGGCAGCTTATGAAATCACATTCCTGTTGTACAAATCCTGGGTCATTGATCACAGGAGATCCAGAAACAGTCAGTGACCAATGAGCAGGAGGTCCGACCTTGGTCACTTCTTTTTCCTTCAATATGTTCCTTTGTTTTTCAAGCATTAGCAATGGAGTCTCCTGCTCATTATCCCTCTGTGTGCAAGAGGGCCCTCAAGAGTGCTCTGATCCTTCATAGGAAACAGGAAGCCATTGATGCTGTGAGAATCAGGTTAGTATTCACACCAGTTACTGCTAGAAGGAATGTGCAAAGACAGCCAGGTGATAATGTATCTCATCAACTGGCCATTGTTTGTCTAGGATGTGTGTCAAACTGGCAGGGAAATGAGGGACTGGTGGGGAAAGAAGACATACAAAGAATCAATTGTTGGTCACATGTTAGATCCCTTTCCCTGTGCTATTTTTTGTCTGTGGAGCTGGAACATTTCTTTATTATGATTGTTAGTTACTTGGTAGAAGTATTGAACACAAAGGTTATGATAAGCAGGCATCAAACTCTTGGGGTGCGTCTAGACTGGCAAGATTTTGCATCTACACTGGCCGCTTGAATTTGTGCAAGAGCACTGACTTTGTAATGTACAAAATCAGTGCTTCTTGCGCAAATACTTTCACGCTCCTGCTCGGGAAAAAGCCCTCTTGTGCAAGAATACTTGCGCAAAAGGGCCAGTGTAGACAGGAAAGAATTGTTTTGCACAAAAAAGCCCCGATGGCTAAAATGGCGATCGGGGCTTTCTTGCGCAAAATCGTGTCTAGACTGGCCACAGGTTTTCCCACCTTCTCAAGACCTATTAGCCTTGTATGCTTATCCAACCTACATTATCAATCCTGAAGTTTCTGAACAAGTTGAAGCAGATGATAGCAGTGATCATTCTGATGGCACAACCATGACCAAGGCAGGTGTGGTTCTCAGATCTGCTTTGGATCTCTCTGCTCTTTATTTTCTTCTGACAGCAAACCTTCTGACCCAGGAATCAGTAACCATAGCCCACCTCTGTCTTTTGTTTTTGCTCCTCAAGGCCTACTTGATGGCTTTTGGACATAGAACAGAATTGTTCTTTTGAGGTTCAGATAGTGCTGCTAAATATCAGGAAACTCTCTATGAGGAAAACTTGCCATGCAGAAGTGGAAGCATTTTCAAGACTAGTGTGATCATCAGTCCAAATCGCCTTCTGACTTTCTCCCCTGGAATGTATTTGAGTATCTGCTCAATTTAGAGACCCTGGGCTTGTTGCTGGGCTCTCTGGAGATTCTTTTTCCTTGCTCCCTTCATAGCTTATTATTCAGCTGTCAAAGAGTGTTCAGTTTTCACTCACCCTACCACTGTTAGATTCATTAAGGGGTTTCTAAACTTTTTCCCCTTTAAGAGAGCCCATTCTACTCTGGGACCTTGATTTGGTTCTCATTGCCTTAGGAAGACTCCTATGTAAAGTCTTGGGGTAATCCTGTCTTTCAAGGTCTTCTTCCTTATAGCCATCACCATAGCCAAAAGGGTAGGGGAACTAGGGTGCTTATGACTGGCCCCACCCAGACATGATATCCTACTAGGAAAAGGTGATTTTATGCTCCCACCCTTGTTTCCTCTCCAAGATCTCATCAGACTTTTCACCTCAGTCAAGTCATTCAGTGTTTTACCCCAAACCTCATTGTCTGAGAGAGGAGGCCAATTTTCATACTCTGGCTGTAAGAAGTATTTTTCCCTGCTATCTCGATAGGCCAAAGCCCTCGTGAATTGCTGTTAAAACTCGGCCAATTGTTCTATGCCTGGTTGCTTTGCCAAAGATGCATATTCCATACGATGCTGAACAATTTTCCTCTTTTTTGATTCCCAGCAAATGTCTGCACAGCTTGATTCACCTTTCTCTGCCCACTGGAGTGATAGACACAGATGCTTGTGTACTGGAGGAGGTGTGGGGCTACTTTGAAGATGCTCTGAGCATTGTAGGAACCACAGTAAGTTGAGCACAAAAAGAAAAGGCTGGAAATGCTCCTACACAAGCTCACAAAGTCCTCACCAGAATGTGAGCAATCAGCAAGACGTAAAATATTTAAGCTCTCACATGCAGGGAGGGAAGGGGACATAGAGAGCTCTGGCCTGGCCTGAGTTTCATAGCTGAGGTCTGCAGTCACCGCACATGCCCTATTCCCAGACCGAGCTCGTAAGTGTCATATAGGTGGAGTGTGAGATGTGCTGGGTTCTGTGCTGCTTCCAGCTTTGCCTTTGGGACAGGGAATTTATTTATAAGCAGGATTGAGGGATTAAGATACCAAAAGGCTTGTCATTAAATTAAGGATCCTTAGGTCGGTAGTTCTCAGCATGTGGGCCATAGACCATTAGTGGTCCATGGCCGTCCTACAGGTGGTCTGTGGCTTGAGCTCAGCCCTGCCCCCCTTTCCTCCCACGCAGCGGGGAGCTTGCACTACCATGCCACCTCTACCCCCCTCTGGTGTAATGACAGCACACGGAGCTGCTGGCTCTGCCTCTCTCCACCAGCCAGGTCTGGCAGGGAAGGTCAGTGTTTTCTTCACCACTCCACCCCTTACGCCCTCCAAGTAGGAAGCCGGAGCTAGTGCACCAGTGTTGCGGCTGCACACCAGAACCGCTAGTCTGGAGTGGCAGTGCAGGCTCCCCGCTGTGTGGGGGAGGGGGGCTGAGCTTCTCCCTCCCCCCTCCACTGTGGGAATGGCAATGCAGGGACGTTCTGTCCAGAGGCTTTCCCCACTACTCCCATTGGCCGGCCAATGGGAGCAGTAGGAGGTGGTGCTTAGGAGCGATGGGGGTGTGAAGCCAGATAAGTGCCCCCCTCGTGCCCAGGTCCCCTGCACTCTAATCCCCCTCACTCACCTCTCCTCCACCCCCGCCAAGACCCTGCACCCCCAGCTTTCACCCACATCCTCCCTCCTGGCCACTCTTCACCCTCCTTTGCTCCTGCATCCTCCCCTCTAGCCAGACACCTACCTCCACCCTGCTCCTGCATCCACTGTTGCTCCTACACCCTCCCTCGGGTGTTCGAGCCCACACTGGGACCCAAGCTCAGATGATGACAACCTGGTTGAGGTGGACTGGCCTCCCACGCCAGACACATTTGAGACTGCATGGGAATTCCCGCACTGACCTGCCGGTACTCAGGCCTCACCAGAGGGCACCGCCAACTTCGGGGCCATCACCAGTGCACAGAACCCCAGCACTGTCAGTGGTCATGCCCTTGGAGCACCCAATGCTGCCTCCTCTGCCCCAGAGCAGGGCAAGCCAGAGTCAATAGCCACGTTGGCCTTGGATTATTCCACTGACTCTGAGGCCGAGTCCGTTTTCTCCAGGGATGGTGCATCTCAATCATGCACCACTCCTATTCATGGCACGGTACCCAGCACCGCAGAGTTCCAGCTCAACCTCCTCAGCCATCATGGCCACCTCAGTGGCAGCAGTGCAGTGGCCTTTCTGGACCCCCTGGGTTTACCACCAGGCCCAGGTCCCTACCAACCGGCTTCCACCTACTCAGGTCCTAGGGCACTGCTCTCGGCGACCCCCCACTATCCCACTCCCCTCATATGCCCATTCTCAAGCCCCCCATAAGCCATCTCCCAGACCTTCCAGAGATGGGGAATGGAACCAGCCCAGGTCATGGGCCTGTAGTATGCAGTTGCCTTCTAAAACCTGGATCAACACCACCAGCAGGAGGAGCAGGTGCTGAAGGATTCTTCGTCCTCTTTCTCTGATGAGGCACTTGGGGGGCTTCATTCTGTCCATGCCCTCGATGGACTCAAGGGCCCACCGGGATCTCCCGAAGCTCCTTGCACAGAGCTTAGGAGTCCGGGCTGAGCACGTGTCAAAGGACTCGGACCCTACAGTGGATACCCTAAATGTGGATGTCCTGACCAGAGTGGTGCTTGCCCTCAACAAAACGGTGATCCAGATCACCAAAACACTGGCAAATTCCAGCATCCATCCCACCATCTGGTCAGTGGGTGGAGCAGAGATATTACGTCCCTCAGGTGGGCCATGGACATCTCTTCTCCCACCCCCTGCCAGGGTCCCTTGTTGTTCAGGTGGCAAATCACAGGGAATGGCAAGGACAGCTGGGCCTGACACCTAAAACAGAGAGGCAAAGGAAAAGGACCCTTTGGCTTGTGTCTCTGGCAGGTTGCCGCTCAGGATTGCCACCAGCAGGTGCTCCTGAGCCCCTATGCCTGGTGCCATGGACAGACTCAGAGACCTTGTGCCCCAAGATTTATGGCAGCCATTTAAGGCCCTGTCAGAGGAGGGCAGGTTTGTGTCTTGAGTGCGCGGTCCTGCAGGCAGCCCTCGACTCAGCGGAGCTGGTTGTGTGCACTATGGCTACAGGACTGGTCCTACGCCTTTGTTCCTGGCTCTAGATCGCCAGTGTTCCCCTTGAACTCCTGACTACCACCCAAGACCTTCTCTTTGAAGGGGTGGGCTTGTTTTCAGAGTGCCCCAAGGTTCGGTTCTAGGACCGGTTTTGTTCAATATCTTTATTAATGACCTGGATGAGGGGATAGATTGCACCCTCAGCAAGGTTGCAGATGACACTAAGCTGGGGGGAGAGGTAGATACGCTTAAGGGCAGAGATAGGATCCAGAGTGACTTAGACAAATTGGAGGATTGGGCCACTAGAAATCTCATGAGATTCAACAAAAACAAGTGTAGAGTCCTGCACTTGGGACGGAAGAATCCCAAGCATAGTTACAGGCTGGGGACCAACCAGTTAAGTTGTAGTTCTGCAGAAAAGGACCTGGGGGTTACAGTGGATGAGAAGCTGGATATGAGTCAACAGTGTGCCCTTGTAGCCAAGAAGGCTAATGGCATATTAGGATGCATTAAGAGGAGCATTGCCAGCAGATCCAGAGTTGTCATTATTCCCCTTTATTCGGCTTTGGTGAGGCCACATCTGGAGTATTGTGTCCAGTTCTGGGCCCCCCACTACAAAAAGGATGCGGAAGCATTGGAGAGGGTCCAGCGGAGGGCAACCAAAATGATTAGGGGTCTGGAGCATATGACTTATGAGGAGAGGCTGAGGGACTTGGGTCTGTTTAGTCTGCAGAAGCGAAGAGTGAGGGGGGATTTGATAGCAGCCTTCAACTTCCTGAAGGGAGGTTCCAAAGAGGATGGAGAGAGGCTGTTCTCAGTAGTGACAGATGGCAGAACAAGGAGCAATGGTCTCAAGTTGTGGTGGGAGAGGTCCAGATTGGATATTAGGAAAAACTATTTTACTAGAAGGGTAGTGAAGCATTGGAATGGGTTACCTAGGGAAGTAGTGGAGTCTCCATCCCTAGAGGTATTTAAGTCTCGGCTTGACAAAGCCCTGGCCGGGTTGATTTAGATGGGATTGGTCCTGCCTAGAGCGGGGGGCTGGACTTGACGACCTTCTGGGGTCTCTTCCAGTTCTATGATTCTATAAGGGGATGGTTGGATGAAATAACATGATCTTGGGAACTAATTGACCATTCATTATCAGTTGGAAATAGGTCAATGGAGGGATGATAGGAGTTGCTATAGGGAACTTTCTGGGTGTCTGGCTGGTGAGTCTCGCCCACATGCTCAGGGTTTAGCTGATCGCCATATTTGGGGTCGGGAAGGAATTTTCCTCCAGGGTAGATTGGCAGAGACCCTGGAGGTTTTTCGCCTTCCTCTGTAGCATTGGGCACAGATTACAGCTGAAGGACTCTCTGCATGTTGGGTCCTTCAAAGTATTTGAATGCTTCAATATCTTTGATATAGGTGAGAGGATTATTCTAAGAGGGGTGGTTGAGATTCTGTGGCCTGCACTGTGCAGGGGGTCAGACTAGATGATCATAATGGTCCCTTCTGACCTTAAAGTCTATGAATCTATGAACCAGCTGCATGGTCTGAAGGACTCAAGAGCCCCTGCATAGTTCCTTGGGATCCATACCCCTGCGTCACAGAGGCATTCTTTTAACCCCAAGGGCCTGTCATGCCCTCCCCAGCAAGGGCCCAGACTTGAGTTCACTAGGCGTAGGGGTAGGAATTTGGGAATCAGGAATGGCAGACATTGCTCTTGTTCCTCCTCCGACGAGGGGGTGGGACCCTTTGCCAAATCCCAGGGGCCACATCAGATATTTTAAACGTATGAGTCATCATTTTGGTCCTCCCCTTCCTGGACTGTTTAGCTGTTTTTCCACTGTGCTTGGTCGACCGTAACAACAGATTGTTGGGTCCTGGACATGGTACAAAATGGATATTCTATCCCATTCCTCTCCCAGCCTCCTTTCCACCCCTCTTTAGGGACCCCTCTCATGAGCATCTCTGCAGCCTCTCAGTCTAGGAGCAGTGGAAGTGGTTTCTATGGCGTTCAGGGGTAAGGGGCTTTACTCATGTTATTTCTTGTTTCCCAAAGCCAAGGGTGGCTTTCACCCCATTCTGGACCTCGGATTTCAATGCTGTCAGCTCCAAGACAAGGTTCAAAATGGTCTTTATCAACCCCGCCTCAAAGGGTTCTGCTTGGGCGTCACCTATATGGAATGAACATGAGCAATCACTGGAAGGAGAAAAAATGGTTACTTGCCTCGCATAGCTGCTGTTCTTTGAGTCGTGTGGCTCAAGTCCATTCCAAATCCCACCCACCTCCCCTTCATCGGAGAACTCTGGCAAGAAGGAACTGGGGGGTGGAGTAGGGGTATATATGTGCCAATATAAGGGTGCCATTCCAGAGGGCTCCCTTGCTGGCCCAACCGGTACCACTGGGGAAAACAAATCTGCGATGAGCTGTGCACACCTACGTGGAACGGACATGGGCAATACAGCTCAAAGACCAACAGTTACGAGAGCTAAGTAACCATTTTGTCTTCATATTTCTAAATACTCTATTTCGAAAAAAGAAATGCAGTCTAGATGAGTGTGAACTATGGAACGACTATTAGGAATTCTGGTCTTTGCATGGCCATGGTGAAAAACTCCCTTTTGGGTCTCTGTTTTAATAGTAAACTCCAATGCACTGTAGCCCAGGCACCTTTAGGAGTGAAAAGCCTAATTTTTGCATTGCTGGCTACTTTAGGGTGATTACCCAGAGGTGGAGACCCTGTGGCTGATGACCAGATGTGAACTATGGAACGACTATTAGGAATTCTGGTCTTTGCATGGCCATGGTGAAAAACTCCCTTTTGGGTCTCTGTTTTAATAGTAAACTCCAATGCACTGTAGCCCAGGCACCTTTAGGAGTGAAAAGCCTAATTTTTGCATTGCTGGCTACTTTAGGGTGATTACCCAGAGGTGGAGACCCTGTGGCTGATGACCAGAGCCTGGAATACAGGAATATTTCAGTACACTGTTGGTAAATACAAGGAGGCTGAGCACTGGTGTGGGCTGGGGATGCGCTTTCTGAATCACCTCGGGTCCCTGAAGAGCAGCTATGAAAGCCAGGTGAGTGTGAGCAGAAGGCAGACAGGTGAAAACGGCAGGGGGGGAGGGGCAGGGAAGCATCGACAGAGCCACTTCAAAGAACAATGGACAAGGCAGAAGAAGTCACCAGATCAGGGTTCTTAAACTGGGTCAGAACCCTAAGGTGGGCTGCAACCTTGGGGCCCAGCAAGTCTCAAGTTCAAGCCTCAGCCCCAATGCCCATGGCTAAGGTTACATGCCCCAGCCAGGGCAGAAGCGCTTGGATGCCAGTTTTGGACCCCTAGCCTCAGGTGGTGGGTTTCAGACAGATATGGTCATTGGTTCCCCTCCTGGAGCTCTGGAGTCATTTTTGTCAGAAGAAGTTCATGGTGCAATGGAGTTTGAGTTCTGCTGCATTAGATGCTTAAGCAGGACGAGCTATTGGGGGTCAGACCTACAGAAAACAGTATAGCTTGTCTTAGCCCTTAGCTTTCCTTAGCCAGATAAGCCTCTTTCTGCTGCTGCTATGTTTGCATCCAGATGCCCTTAGAGCTGCCTGTCCCAACTGCAGCAATTTATAGACTGGCTGATGTATGCAGTCATCATGCACTGGTCTTACACACAGCCAAGCCTCCAGTGTCTCCTGATTAACTCTGAGTGGGTCAGGAGTTTTTATACTGATGTAATTGTATCAGTTTTGGAAAGAGATATAGTTAAATTGATGTGTGCCAGCAGCTGAAAAGTATGCTGCTCCAAGCACCTGTCCACTGGTGTGAATGCAAGCACATTGCGGGAGGTGGGCTGCACTTTTAAACAAGTGTAGTTAAATTGGTTTTTAAAAACCATGGCTGTGTCTAGACCGGCCAGTTTTTCCGGAAAATCAACCCCTTTTCCGGAAAAACTTGCCAGCTGTCTACACTGGCCACTTGAATTTCCGCAAAAGCACTGACTTCCTACTGAGGAAGTGGGTCTGGCCCACGAAAGCTCATCATCTAATAAATCATCTTGTTAGTCCTGTATTTTGTTTTGACTTCCTACTGTAAGAAATCAGTGCTTTTTGCGGAAATACGATGCTGCTCCCGTTTGGGCAAAAGTCCCTTTTGCGCAAAACTTTTGCGCAAAACTTTTGCGCAAAACTTTTGCGCAAAACTTTTGCGCAAAACTTTTGCGCAAAACTTTTGCGCAAAACTTTTGCGCAAAACTTTTGCGCAAAACTTTTGCGCAAAACTTTTGCGCAAAACTTTTGCGCAAAACTTTTGCGCAAAAGGGCCAGTGTAGACAGCTGAGATTTGTTTTCTGCAAAAAAGCCCCGATCGCGAAAATGGCGATTGGGGCTTTTTTGCGGAAAAAGCAGTGTGTAGGAACAACTCTCTATTCGAATGGGAGAGATTTGTTTTTCTTTATCCACTCAGAGGACTGATGGTGGTTATATTCCCCAGATGATTGGTCTTTATGGTGAGGTGCTGGATAAGTTGGACAGAGCAAAGGGATTCCTTCCAAATGAAGAATAACACTGACTGCAGCAAGCCAGGGTGATGGGACTTTGGAAGCATTTGGCTGGATAGAAGAGGCTACTAGTTCTGCAGTGAGTGCTAGAACCAGCACCCAGGTCTCGCTGCTGATGGCCATTGTAAAGCTATTTACTTTTCAGGAAGTTTTTATTAGAGAGATGTGAACTTTTTTTTCAGGGACTATTAGAGTGCTATTTAATGGGAGGAAGCTGATTCATAATCTTATGAGATAGGGCTGCGGTTGCACAGACAGTTGTTTAAATGTTTGATTTTATAGAAAGCAGCAATGTGAACAATAAAAGGGTTCCAGCCTCCTGTGTATCTTGTGGCTGCCACTGTTGTCTTCCTCTGTTAGGTTTTCAATCCATTTCAGTATAGGCAGCCATTTAGAACTGCTGACCAGGACTGCAACTGTCACTTTGTTATCACAGTGATAGAGATGTAGCCGTGTTAGTCTGGGGTAGCTGAAGCAAAATGCAGGCCAATGTAGCACTTGAAAGGGAATCCTCTGAACTGGCATTCATGCTAAAATTCGACACTCTCCGCAGGGGAATTAACAAAGACTCCAATTATCTTACCCATTACAAAGATAGCTTCCCCAATTATCACCTCTAATACTATTAACTCAGACATCTCCCCTTCCCCACCTCTAATATCATTAACTCACTGGCATTCACCTTCCTTCCCCCCCCCCCCCCCCCGCATCCCCCTCTTGTTCTGCAATGTGATTTGTCCTTTTCATATTTGTTCATTTTTTTAAATTGTATCCTTTGGTATATATGGTTGTGACTATTTTCTTCCACTATTTGATCTGAGGAGGTGGGTCTGGCCCACGAAAGCTCATCATCTAATAAACCATCTTGTTAGTCTTTAAAGTGCTACATAGTCCTGTATTTTGTTTCAGCTACACCAGACTAACACGGCTACATTTCTATCACTATTCTGAAGTAGGATGCAGGTTAGCAGGTCATTCAGACAGTGTCCTTTCTGGTTGAAATGACAAGCAACTGTTTTTTCTTTGTGATCCTGTCTAATGTCTGTTTTGTGGGCATTGATTCTTTGGCGAAGAAAGAATCGACACTCTCCACAGGGGAATTAACAAAGACTCCAATTATCTTACCCATTACAAAGATAGCTTCCCCAATTATCACCTCTAATACTATTAACTCAGACATCTCCCCTTCCCCACCTCTAATATCATTAACTCACTGGCATTCACCTTCCTTCCCCCCCCCCCCCCCCCGCATCCCCCTCTTGTTCTGCAATGTGATTTGTCCTTTTCATATTTGTTCATTTTTTTAAATTGTATCCTTTGGTATATATGGTTGTGACTATTTTCTTCCACTATTTGATCTGAGGAGGTGGGTCTGGCCCACGAAAGCTCATCATCTAATAAACCATCTTGTTAGTCTTTAAAGTGCTACATAGTCCTGTATTTTGTTTCAGCTACACCAGACTAACACGGCTACATTTCTATCACTATTCTGAAGTAGGATGCAGGTTAGCAGGTCATTCAGACAGTGTCCTTTCTGGTTGAAATGACAAGCAACTGTTTTTTCTTTGTGATCCTGTCTAATGTCTGTTTTGTGGGCATTGATTCTTTGGCGAAGAAAGAATCGACACTCTCCACAGGGGAATTAACAAAGACTCCAATTATCTCACCCATTACAAAGATAGCTTCCCCAATTATCACCTCTAATACTATTATCTCACAGACATTTCCCCTTCCCCACCTCTAATATCATTAACTCACTGGCATTCCCCTTCCTTCCCCCCCCCCACACACACATCTCCCTTCTGTTCTGTAATGTGATTTGTCCTTTTCATGTGTGTTCATTTTTTTTAAATTGTATCCTTTGGTATATATGGTTGTGACTATTTTCTTCCACTATTTGATCTGAGGAAGTGGGTCTGGCCCACGAAAGCTCATCATCTAATAAACCATCTTGTTAGTTTTTAAAGTGCTACATAGTCCTGTATTTTGTTATCACAAAGAGAGTGGCTCCTTGCACCTCCTGTCACACACAAAATGCTAAAGCTTTGTCTAGCACTGCAGGTTATGAGCTGCTAAATGGAACTTCCTGCATTAGTCAGTGCTCACTCTGAACCTCCCCAACAGCAACACGTGCGGTGGGAGACTGTCCACAGCTGAAGGGATTGGGTGAGCAGACTCCACCCCACCAGCTAACATTTAACCTTACTTCTACATCACGTCCGTGTTAGCTTAGTAAAACTGCTTTTCTGAAACAAGGGCTGCATAGCATAAACAGAATGTTTGAGTAGGTCACAGAACTTAAAACCTTGGTTACATGCTCACTTAAACAGCTCCAGCTGTGATTACCTTCTAAGACACAAATGAGATACCCGAAAAGGCAACACACAAAAACCTGCTGGGGAACACTTTTATCTGCTTGGACATTCATTAATGGATCTCCAAGTAGCTGTTTTGTTTCAGACCAATTGCACAAGCCAAATACACAGAGAAGGGTTGGAACTTAACTTCATTCACAAGTTTAATTCTTCTTCAAATGGTATGACTTGGGATAGCAGATGGCTTGCACATTATCAACCTATGCAAATGAAGTACAGATTAGCATATTGCTGTGCTTTGTTTGCATACTTAAGTAGGAGCCATTTTTGCACAAAAAGGCGCTGTCTACACAGCAACTTTTTTGCGCAACCCTCCTCCGCTGGTGCAAGAGCCGTTCTTCCTGAAAAAATGAGGACGAACGGCTCTTGCACAAGAGGGGGGTTTTGCACTAAAAGGTGCTGTGTAGACAGCACCTTTTTGTGCAAAAACAGCTCCTAATTAATTATGCAACTGAAGCACAGCAGTATGCTAATCTGCACTTCATTTGCATAGGCTTTTGGGGAAGAGGGAAGCTGTGTAGATGTAGCTGTCAATCATTCCATCTTTATTGACAGTATCAGCTTTGCAGCTGTTTGGAAGGAAAGTTGAGACTCAGTATTAAGAGTGCAACACTGGCCACTGATATAATGTAGCTGGTGCTAAACTAGTACACCATTGGCTGTCCAAGGCCAGCTAACACTGCACTACCTCATAGAGGAGTTGCTCAGGGTCAGAGGTGTTCTTGAACATAAATGAGGGCTGCAGCATTACACTGTACAATAAAATATTATTTCTATAGACCGTGGTGCTGTTCCCACTTACTTAAGCATTACTCTTCCTTCACACAGACACACCCCAAATTCAATCAAAATGTAAAAGAAAGTTAAGTTTGGATTGTTTGCCTTCTGATTTTTGAGGCTTCGGGTTCATAGTTTCATGCTTTTCTCTACAATGTGGGCAGAACCAGGTATTCATATGGCTTCAGGGGTTGCTTTTATTTAAAATAAAAGGGTAAGTGCCAAGCCCTGCCGGAGCTCTAGAGCATGTGACCCTTAAAGGCTCAACAACCAGAGGGCAAATTTAAAATCCAACACACTTAAAAATCATGGCACTAAGTAAAGCTAGTGGTTTGGGGGGGCCTGATTAAATGGCCAGACTACAGGTGATGGCCCATCTCCACCCATCAGCTGGAAGCCAATCTTTATCTATGCATTCTCTTGAGATGTCCTGCAGCTGGTAACTGGCTCGTTTCCACAAGCAGCTGCCATTTGCCGCAGTCACAGCCATTGACATTCCGTACATTAAACTAGATGGCTCATGCCAGCACTGACGCAGCCGCTGCCTCTCAAATTGCCACACAATCTTGTCCTCTTAGGCCACTGCTGCCATTTGTTTTGGCAACCAAGAGGCTTTGATGTGGTGCTAATTAGGCAGCATTGTATTGCGCTAGTAGGTGCGGTAAGAATTACTTACCCTAGGATAACAGTAAGTCTGTGATATGGTATGGACAGTGTGGCACCCCCCACGTCTATGTGAGGCATTTCTGAATAGTAGGAGGAGTTGGGGGGAGAGGGCTGTTTTTGTGCTCAGTGCTACTTCATGCTTATAAAGGCGGTATGGGGCATGGCTCAGCCTTTGTGGTATGCTCCCTATAAGCACCTGGCCTAGGCCTGGAAAGCTAGTGATCCAGTTAGCCAAACAAATTTGGTGATGACTCCTGATCATGTGCCATCTGAGGCACCGTGTGGCGCCCATTACTGTTGACTGGCAAATATTCCTCCCTGAATGGTGGGAATGGCCTGCTAGCCCTATTAGCCAAACAGTTGCAGTAAGTGCCTGTCCAGATGGGCATTTAGCCAGGTCAAGGGCATAATGTTCACCAGAAATTCATTGCGGTACACCCAGCTGCAGCCTTACTGACCTGAGGTGATAGAGACAACTGGCCTTCTAGCAAGCAGCTTGATGTTTGGTGGACAGGATCACTGGTCAGCTAATAGCAGCTAGAAGTGTACTGTGTGATCAAGTTGGAGATGCTCTGTAAAGCAATCGCATGACTGGAAATGGCTACAAAGAAAGCAGCAAGAAAGACTGGGTTAAATTAAGATGTAATAGCCAAGCCCTGGCAACATCCCGAGTCTGCTGCCTCTCATCAGGGAGGCTAACAAGTTGAGACCAGTTCAGGTGAAAGTCAGACCACCTCAGGGATGACCTTGGTTAGGCCCTTCCCCCTACCTTGTTCCCATGGAGAGACCTAACCTCTCTCACCTGTGGGCAAACGGTAAAGCATTTCAATGCCATTAGACGAGCAATGGTCTTTGTGCTTGTACCAGTGTGTGGCTAACAAATATTGCTGTGAGGTTGACCATGAGCATGTTAAATACCAATCCATACTGCTTCACTAGCCACATACAGTCAAGGATCGGCAGTGTAGATGCCTGTAATAAATACATCTTCATTTAATCTTCCTCGCAGAAGAATTTCCTGCTTTGGACAAGAATTTTATGAATATGTCTGTTAGCAGGGGTCAGTCAGCCAACATCAAAACAGTTTGACTGCATGCCTGGGCGAGGGATGGGAATGAATAGTCAACTATCGGATAAGCAAATGCCTATCGGATAGTCAACTAGTCATCCTCCCCCCACTTGCTGTCATTGTCAGAAAGAGGCGGAAAGGGGAGAAGAAAGCAGCAGCACTACATGGAGGCAGGGGCCAGACCCCAGCTTCCACCTGCTGCTGCCACTTTGAAACACAGGCCAGCTGGGGATGCCCCAGGCTGCATGTGGCATTTCAAAACAGCAGCACTGCATGGAGCCCGGGATGAGCTGGGGACTCCCCCCCTAGCCCTGGGCTCTGTGTAGCGCTGCCGCTTTGAAATGCCACAGGGAACACAGGGCCAGTGGGGGACTGTCTTGCTGGCCCTGCGCTCCCTGCAGCACTTTTGCCTTTGAAGTGTAGCAACAGCCCTAGGCTGTTGCTACACTTCAAAGGTGGAGGCACCCTATTGACTACTGGTAATTAAAATTTACCATCCCTAAGCTGGGTAGAGGAGTTGACCATAGTTCTGGGATACTAGATATAGCTTGGTTGTGAGATGGGTGGCCAGATGGACAACTGTTATTGGCTAGTTAGGGATTAACAGAATGGCTGCAGATTTAGGGACCAGGAGTTTGTAGAAAGATATATACTGTATGTACCCTTCAGCCCATCAAAGGAGAAAAGTATCTGGTAGTAGTAGGCTCACACTTCTGCTTGTGCTGAAGTTTAAAGAACACTGTCCCTGCTCTCCCATCACAGACATTAGCTGCATGACAGACACATTCAGTGTCTCTATCAGAAAGGCTATATCTACACTGCAGCTTTTTTGGAAAAATGGCCATTTTTCCAGAAAAACTTCACTTACATCCACACTGCAATTGCGTTCTTTTGGGGGGGGGGGAAAAAAAAAAATCGAAAGAACACGGGTTTTTCCGACATTGGTAAACCACTTTCTACAAGGAAGAAGTCTTTTCCCAAGAGAGCTCCTTCGGAAAAAGCACAGGTGCCTCGGTGGCCGCTCCATCCACAGTAATCACAGCTTTCATGCGAGATAGCATCCAGTCAGTGTGTATGCTATCTTTTGAAAAAGTAGATTGCTTTTTCCATACACTTAGGCAGTGTGGACGCTCTCTTTCCAAAGGTTTTTCAGAAGATCTCATCCAGAAAAGCTGCTTCCGAAAGAAGCCTGCAGTCAGGACATAGCCAAAGAGGCAGCAAGGGGAGGGGGAATAGGAGAGGATGCTTTAAAGCAGCAGTGCCACTTGGGAACCGGGGGCCATAGGTACTGTCTGTCTCCTTGAGAAAACTGCTTGGCTGTTGCTGACCCCTAGGAGATGTAGAGCCAGCAGGGTTATTCTGTGTTGCTAACACTGCTGCCACAGTGTGATGATGGCTTGGCAGAAAGAGAATATCTGAATACCTGAGTGCCTCCTTGTTCGGTTGTACAGTGAGCACAGCCATACCAATCAGAATTGGCACGGTGGAGTTTGCAGAACAGATCGATACACTAAACAAGCAGGGCTCATGGCGCTCAACTTCAAGACATTCATGTGTAGCTGTTAATTGTTCTGAGACCATCTCTTGCAGCTGCAGTTGGTTCAGGTGGGTATCCCGGTCTGTCCCTGAAGCATCGGTGGTGCCAGCACAGGCACTATCTTTCCATTCATTCCCTGGGTCTAATCTCCCAAGCTTATAGGATTTGAAGCAGGAGCGTGACCCTTCTGTTCAGCTGGAGAAATCTTTACTATGCAGGAATTAAGCTGTGGAGCTTGCTGCCACCAGGTATTATTGGACAGAGCACCCGGCAGGATTCAAGGAAGGTTTCAGTACTTAGATAGAGATCTGCATTCACAGCAAGCTTGGCTAGGTTTGTAAGGTACGTGACAAGCGTCTTCAGGGCATGAGGTAACAGCTCTGACGGAGGAGAGACCCTCTACCTCTCCTTTCATTGTCTATTCGGAGGCTTTTACCCCAAGTATAACCACTGGCAGTGACCAGACTACAGGACTATTTTCAATCTGACTCATTAATTTGCTTAACTAAAACACAACATTAAATATATGGGCTATAACCAGTAAGCTGGTCTTCAAAAGCCACTTTATTCCGGCAGCGCCACCTTCTGAAAGGAAAACTCCCAGGTAAGAGCTTTAATTCATTCCAACTAAAATCAAAACTCAGTTTCATTTTATAAGTGCCTGTAAAAGTGGGTTGTGCCCACGAAAGCTCATGATACTATCTACATGTTTTGTTAGTCTATTTGTTGTTTAAGTTTTTCCTGTTACAGACTAACTTGGCTACCCAATGAAGCTTTTGTAATAAAAGTAAACATTTAGGAAATAGCTTCTTAAAACACACTGGTTTATGAGCTTGTAGAAGTTCCACTCATCTGCATGATCTGAAGACAAGCTCTAAGGTTTTTATAAGTTTCAATTTAACAAGTGAAACCATCTATTAAATTAGATCAGTTATTTGAAACATTAATTTCCAGCCCTTTGATTTGTTTCACCCCTAGATGCTAAGGCTGGGTCTGCTACTTGGTGATGCACCATTGAAATATCAGCCTCTCCCCATCAAACTCTTTCACACATGGAAAGCGGACACTGAATTTCAAAAATAGGCTTTAACTTTTAGTGAAGGCTTAACTCTATCCCCAACATTTTAATGTAACAATCATAACTTCTACCCACCAGTATTGTACTAATAACACGTCTGACCAAGTTGCGTTTTAATAATGACCCAGCTTAGAATCATAGAATCCCAGGGCTGGCAGAAACCTCAGGAGGTCGAGTCATGCCCACAGCAGGACCAATCCCAATCACCCCCTCCCTAGGGAGCCCAACTCAGTACTTCACCACCCTCCTCAGGAAATAGTTTTTCCTAATATCGTCATATGCCTGTCAGTGAAAAACTAACCACTTCCCCTCTGAGTACATGCAGGACCAGATGCGGCAGGAATGTAATGTCATATGCCTGTCAGTGAAAAACAAACCACTTCCCCTCTGAGTACATGCAGGACCAGATGCGGCAGGAATGTAATAAAAGCACATAATTTCCACTAATTTTAAATGTTGCAGCAAATTCCCCACATTGCAGGCATGAGGATCTGTGGCCTTCAAGCAAGGGGCTTAGGTCCAACTGCCTTGGCACAATAGAATATGATGCTGCACAAGGAAAAGGCCTGCAACCATAACCCCAACTCAAATAGCTAGTGGCCTTGACAAAGCTGGAAAGGGGCCTTTTTGTAGATGTGGTCACTAATCTGAACCCAGCGACTGCTGTTTAGGATTTAGTCTTTAGGGGCCACCCCCTCCCACCTGCAAGCCTAAACATTTTCAGGCTGTGTCATGTTGAGCATAACCCCTCAGTTCACTGCAGCCCTGCTAGGCCACACTCAGAGGCCAGGATCAACTCGGAAGTAGCAAGGGTCCACTATATGATGAGGGTTTATACAAGAAGGTTTCTGAGACAGAGTTCATTGCAACTCTCTGTTTATTAAAAATATATGTCTCCTTGGAAGAAACACTGGTAAGCAACTAGTGTCATGACTGATTGGGTACTTTCACCTGTGCCATGGAGCACACTGGCCTTTTTCTCCATGTGACTAGAAGAGGGGAGACAGAAAAAGAGTAAAGGAACTTGGAACCTTAAGACTAGCATCTTAGGAATGTGCTCCTAATTCACTTCTACCAGCTCTCCAGAGAATGGGGTGTGTGGCATCCAGAGCAGAACCAATAGAATAGGCCGTAGCTATAAACACTGGCCATCCCATTGCAACTACCTCAACAGTAGTCTTAGCGCCACTGCTTGCCAGTGGTATTTCTATCAGTGTGCTGTGCTGCACTGCCCCGAATCTCACCGGTCTGCTAACCCCTTGCCAATCACTGAAGGAACAGGGTCTCGCTGCCCAGAGTGTGTGTCTACCCGCTGACAGCAGTGCCCACTGCACACGACACACCAGCACAAACAGCCGCCTGTCACCTTAGGGAGTGGACAGTATTAGCAGCATGTTTTTTTCTAACTGGAAACAGCAATGGTCTGATCCCATTAGTTAGGAAAACCTTGGTTTCCTTCTGTAGCATCCAACTGTCACTACCTGGAACGGAGGAAGACATACCTGCTCACATTTTATGGTGATCTCCTTCGCTCTGGTGGATGAGAGTGGAAGAAGTGGGGGCTCTTGCACTAGAATTAAGGGTATCTGAATAACAAAATCTAGGTTGGAAAATCCACAAATCCTTTTGGAAGCTCTTTCCCCGAGGTGGAGCCACATTCAAGTGCACACACCTGAGCTTCTCAAAAGCAGCAGCCTCTCAGTCTATGGAAGACTACCTGTCTGTGGTCTTACACCACTCATCTGGTCACAAAATTGCTTGGTTATACAGTACGATTGTACAATTCTGTCTGCATCTCCATGCCCAACAGACTGCAAGCAACGCTCCCAAGACAGTGGATCCCAAAGGCCGGAACAGGCTTTATGCAGACACTTCCAGTAGTAGAAATACTAAACAGAAAAAGTGAACAAGCACTGTCTGCCAAGCGCTGAGTCCCAGGGACTCAGTAAAAGACACTGCTGCATTGCATGCACAGCTGTTCAATAGCACACGTCCTCCCCCACGGCAGGGGATAGCAGTTGTCATGGTTATTGAAATGCTGAAGTCTGTTTTAAATTCCATTATTGACTTGGGAAGTTGTGAGTTTCCATCCAGGCACAGCTGTGGTTTTCTTCCAGCAGCAGAGGGGAATACCAGTGTGCTTCCATGAGAAAAACTAAAATTCTCTCACCTTATCACACACCAGATTCAGATCCAGTCTAAGGGCCCAGGGAGACCAATTGGATGGCATTTGCTGCATCCACAGTGAAGTGTTCCGGCAGCAGTGGAGATCAGACGGCTTGCTCATTCAATAAAGTCTGTAGATTATTTCTTAACTATGACTCCCTGGGTCTGAGTTCTATTTACAATGTAATCATCTTAAAAAATAAGTTAAAAAACTGGACTTTATACCCACAGATTATTAACATGAGAAAATTGGAATAAAAATGCTGACACAGCAACACAATATGGTTTTGGTTTAACATCTGCTTAAAAAAATAGAACAAAAAGGAAACCTCTCATGCAAACACATTAGGTGGTGTGTAAAACAATGTGCAATTTAATCATGTCTTATCCATTCTCTCTCGCTTTGCCACCCCTGCTCAGTCTGGGTCTTCCAGTCTCACTCAGATCAGCTGATACAGATTCACGTGTTATTCTGGATCCTTGGCCCCCTCTGCCTTACCCCAAAGATCTGGGCTTTGGTTCTCAGAAAACTGACCAGATGCAAGAAGCATCTGAAGCACTTGGTACCGTTTCAATCTCTTCTTGACCAGACTCCCATGCCCAGTAACTGGGACAAAACATTTTAAAACATCCAGGCAATAATACAGTACCATTTTAGGAGGTCCCTCAGGTTTTCTAGTCCACACACACACATATATATATATATATATAATATATATATAATATCTCTATTATATATAAATTACATATACAGATAAATAAAATGCTTGCTTTTCTGTTGCACCCTTCAGAGCTGCAAGGCAGTGACACATGCTTGGAAGAAACGCTCCCCGGAGCTCCAGTCCTAGCTCGTTTTCAAAAATCCATGGTTTTGGTCGTTCTTTATGTAAGTCCTCAGCCATCTCCTCCCATCTTGCTTGGGTTAAGTTTTAATAATAAAAAACGACTTGAATGGGATCTCATCTGTCTCTAATGGAGCAGTGGGAAGGTCCATGCAGGAATGGTGGGGACAGTCACAGAAGTGAGACTGATTTATCCCAACGAAAAGAAACAGGACTAGAAAACTCAATCTCGCGACGATCTAAAAAAGGGGCAGGAGGAGTATTCATGTCCTCTCCCCCCTCCCCCCTTGGAGCATAGGTGAGGGAGGGATTTCAGACATCTGCTCACAAGGAAGTTGGTGGGGGAAGTCTTCAGAGTTTCTCAGGGGACGGGACCCAGATGTAGTGCCCAGACTGGTCCTCAATGATCTGTTTGATTTTGTTGTATATCTCTTCCAGAGAGTCTCCTTGTACAATGGCTAAAAAGGGGAAAGAATAAACCAGTCAGTCAGCACTGTACCACACCTGCACAGCCAGTGGAGCAAAGGAGCCAAAGGGGAGGGAGGGGACAATGTGGCACAGCTACCAGCAAACCTGAGCAAATCCTGTATGTCGTTCTAGATGTGCACTCCGTGAACAGCAGACAACAGGCAAACAAGGCCATTGAGAGTAAAGGATACAGAGCATCTCCAAGCAGCTAAAGGGTGACAGACTCTTGTCATGTGTACGAAGTACCAACTAGTCTCTCAACAAGGGGCTGACAATCAACTTTTCAGACAACTTCATTCAAAACATACTAGGTACTAGAACCTTTCGGAGCTCAGTGTTGGTTACTTCATCCACTTGGAACAGGAGCTGCAGGCACTTGCATAAAGATGGGCTCATTACCGATTCCCGATGGCCCAGGGATCTAGTTTAGTTTCCAGCCCCCCTTGAGAAGAAGTTCTTGGTGCTTCCGGGAGAGCATTTCCCAGCCAAGTGCATCTCATTGTCCAACAGGCCATGCATTTCCCTTTGGCAATATTTTACTACTGTAACACCCCTGGGTATCACAACACTCCCTGATGGGGTTGCCCTCACTTTAGAGGGCTGGGTGTGCCCTATTGAGTTGGACTCTACGCTTAATGAAACCAGGCACATTTAGCTTTTAATCTGTTCCCAGAATTCATTTGCTCCCACTCCCAGATCATTTGGTTGCCTTGTCAGATTCCTCACACTGTGTCATTTTTTCTGGCATCCAATGTCCCACAGGCAGTCCATCCCCCTCCAAGATTCATGATAACACATTTCATACATGTAGCCCAGAATCACAGCGGCTTTTTTACAGCACTAGAATTCCTTGGGCTTCTCTTGCTCATCTTTGTGAAAGGACAATATCCTGGAGAGGGTTTTAAATGCCCAGCAACAGGCTTGTTCTAGCCCGAACACCGCCTTTGCCACGTGGTTTAGCTGGGCAAGTCCCTAGGGCAGCAATCAGGCATGTGAGACGGCAGTTGGTGGGATCTCACCGTTCTTTCAAGATCTTAACATGTTTGCTCCTATGCTGCCCATTACTTTCCAGAAATATGTGTGTGGTACAGCACTTGTGCTATTTTCCTTAACATGGGAGGAGCCCTGCCGTGCTGGCTAGCTTATCTGCAGAGGCACAAGTTGCCATGTATCCCTTACAGGCCCTTCAAATGCTCTTTCCCCTAAGCAGCCACGGTACCATGCTTTTCTTGACAGACTAAAAGCAGTTCAGTCTTCTTCACCTCTCAAGTCACTAATTTAATCCTTCAGCTCATAAGCGGCACCTTCTCTCTGTCTGCTGTTCCCATGGGCTGACCCCCATTCCCCATTCAGCCCTTCAGTAAGTTTTGCTTTTCTGTTTGCCCCTTTCTCCTTGCTGCCTTCAGCAAAGCAGAAAATCCTGCACAGCTGCTGCCCTGCCTGGGCAGGTTTGCCCTTCCCCCTGGTCTCAGAAGCTGCATCCACAGATTCCTGTCCATTTCTGAATTCTTTTGTTTTCAGAGGCATGGGAGAATATCCCATAAATATGGCAGCAAGGTGGTGCTGATGAGGTGACTTCTGCTCTGCAGGACTCTTACCTGTAAAATACTCTCCAAACTCCTGCTCCAGTTTCATGGCTTTTTCAAAGACCTTATTGGCTTGTTCATACGTCTGCCTCCGATTCATCTCCCTGCCAGGCATGGATGAGAATCGTTTCAACGTGTTTCTTTTTTACTTAAAACAAAAAACCACTGCCACCACCAGTGCTGAGAACCCTCCATATTTTGGGGAGCTAGTTCCTTGTGCAGCCCCTACAGACTTATTGCAAGAGACTGGGCAACATGCCGAACTTCATGTGCTCTCTTGCTGCACTGTGCAATGCAAGTCCAGCTCCTGCAGTTCCTTCCAGCACCAATATGCTTCTGTTCTTTGGGTGGAGTGGAAAGATGCTGGAAAGCTCAGACAATCATTAGCCTTTTGCTACAAGCAACGTGGCCCCAGGACCTTGTAGTGCCAGCTAGCAGAGGACACAGAGGATTCGTGGTTTTACAGAGATGCCATGTGAATTATATCCAACCCAATAGAAGGGTGTCCAAAGTCTGCAGAGCGCCCATAGCCACTGGTCATCAGTCATGGTTCAATGGATGGATTTCATTTCCAGAGTTGCCTCTATACTGAAAATTACGTTCTTAAGACAAGTAACCTGTCTCGGACAGGTCCTTTCCAGGCAATGCTTCCAGAGATGCTTCTCTCTTATCTGGCCCTTGTGTCGGCCCATTTGCACACTAAGCCAGATGCGGATTCAGAGATTTCACGATCGACCGAAAAGGAGTGTGCAGGGAAAGAAACATGCAGGGGAAGCCCTGCATAGGATTAAGGGCAGTGGAGTGTTCCCTCATCTGGAGGTGCAAATGGGTACAGCCTGACTGTAAATACTGGAAGGGCTTTGGGTGACCATTGCTCTGTAAGAGAGAAAGCAGCTAGACACATAAGGGTAGGTTCTAGAATGCATATTAGGACTGTATTCGATCTATAACAATTCTTCCCAATACTTCCACTCACTGTCATTTGAATTTCTATGATTTGTTACATTAACTTTTACTGGTTTTCCCTACGGCTACGTCTAGACTAGGCATGATTTTCCGCAAATGCTTTTAACAGAAAAGTTTTCCGTTAAAAGCATTTGCAGAAAAGAGCGTCCAGATTGGCAGGGATGCTTTTCTGCAAAAGCACTTTTTGCGGAAAAGCGTCTGTGGCCAATCTAGACGCACTTTTCTGCAAAAAAGCCCCAGTCGCCATTTTTGCGATCGGGGCTTTTTTACGCAAAACAAATCTGAGCTGTCTACACTTGCCCTTTTGCGCAAAAGGACTTTTGCCCGAACGGGAGCAGCATAGTATTTCCGCAAGAAGCACTGATTTCTTACATGAGATCGGCAGTGTTCTTGCGGAAATTCAAGCGGCCAGTGTAGACAGCTGGCAAGTTTTTCCGCAAAAGCAAATGCTTTTGCGGAAAAACTAGCCAGTCTAGTCACAGCCTATATGTATATCTAAGTGCAAGCTACAGTGGGAAGTCTTCTGGCCCTGGATTCAAAGTTGCTCTTAAGGCTTGCTCTTATCAGACATTTAAGCTTGGACTGCCTATGTTTTCCAGGGTGCATCATGGGGGGAGCAAGGGGAGAGGAAGAAGTGCACATCTTGCACTTACAGTGAATATGAGCAACTCTCAAACTGCAGAGACATTAAGAATGCCTGTCACTATCAGAATAGCCTTGCAGAGGGAGCCTGGCCTCCCTGAGCAAAGGACCCCAAAATAGGGAGAGACTTTATAGCCCCTTTATACTTCCCACACAGGGCACAAGACTGGGGGGGGGGGCACTGCTACCAAAAAATCTCTGCTCAAAGGCACAGGCGGAACCTGAAATGGAACACCCACAGGGACGCTTCTTGAACAGATTCTGCAGATGCAGAATAAGCACAAAGGACTTAAAGAGACACAACTGGTGGGTAAGGTCCCATGGAAACTAAGGGGACAAAGGAGTTGAGGAGAACTGGCAGCTTCTCATGGAGACAATATTTAAGCAGAACAACAAGCCATCCTGATGGGAAGGAAAGAGGGAAAAAAAATAGTAAAAGGTCATTATGACTCATCAGGAGCTCTCTGATGATCTGAAAATCAAAACGGAATCCTACAAAAACTGGAAACATGGACAAATTGCTCTGAAGAATACAGAATAGCATAAGCATGGAGACACAAAATCAGAAGGGAAAAGGCACAAAGTGAGTCACGCCTACCAAGGGACATAAAGGTAGTAAGAGGAGGCTCTTTAAATACATTAGGAGCAAAAGGGAGATGAAGGAAAATGTAAGTTCTACTTAATAGGTAAAAAGACCTAAAAACAGATGATGTGAAGAAAAGTGAAGTGTTTAAATGTCAGTTTTGCTTCGACCTTCACTAAAATGGTAAAACTACAAGCAGATACTTAACACAATATTAAGAATGCAGAAGGAATAAGACAAAATAGGGAAGATCAGGTTAAAGACAATGTAGATAAGCTAGATGTATTCCAGTTAGCAGTGCTTGATGAAATTCACCCTTGGGTACTTTAATAACTAGCTAAAGCAGTGATCTTCTGGAGCTCATGAAGGCCTTGTGAGATCCCAGATGACTGGAGAAGGCCACGCATAGTACCCATCTATCAAAAGGGAGCAAGCAGGACTCAGGGACTTACTGACTAGCCTAGCACCCTGCCTTTGATACAGGGAAATATACTGGAACAAATCAATGTGTAAGCACAGAGATAATGGGGTAATATTGTCAAGAACAAATCCTACCAAACCAACCTAATCTCCTTTGGTAGGGTACCTGGTTTAGTGGAGCGGAGAAAGCAGTAGAAGTGAGTATTTTGATTTCAGGAAGTATTTTGACAATGTCGCAGATGAAATTTTCAAAGGCAAACTAAGGAAATTTGGTGTAAGCGAAATAGAACATGGGTATTCTGCTGGTTGGAACGCCACATTCAATGGTTCACTATCAAATTCAGAAGGACGTATCTAGTGGAGTCCTGGAAGGGTCAGCCCTGGATCTGGCCCTATTCAATGTTTTTACTGATGACTTAAGTAATGGAGTGCAGAGTATGCTCATAAAATCTGCAGATGACACCAAGCTTACAGGATTAGAATTCCAAAGGAGTTTTGCAAATTGGAAACTTGGTCAGAAACCAATAAGAAAAATTCAGTAAGACAAGTTCTATACTTAGGAAGGAAAAGCCAAGTGGACAACTACAAGCCTGTTATAACTGGGGAGGTAGCCAAGTTCCCGCGAATTTTCCTACTCCTGAGTAGAATGAATTTTGTTACATGCAAGACTATGGAGGTGACGTGTGACACATTACTGCCATATTGGCGCACACAACAAAACTCACGTGGCAGGGGTTGGGCTAATGGATTCTTAGTGTGGGCGAGGGCAAAGGCTTGGGACGCAGGGGTGTGAAAGCTGTGGCTGGGGTTGAAGGGCTCAGGTCTGGATCAGAAGGTTGGGGTGCCAGGGTATGGGCTAGGGTGGGGCTGAGGTGCAGGCTCTCTCAAGAGGGAGGGAAGAGAGAGAGAGAGAGGAGACTACCTGCAGTCCTCTCTCACTACAGCAGCTCAGGGCCAGCTGAGACAGCCGCTGCAGCTCCACTGGGCCCAGTGGGGGGCACCTGGTCCTGCCTTCCCTCCCACCCACCCCCCAAGCACAGAGCAGCTGCAACAGTGGGGAGGTGCTGCCCCTTCTGGCTCCAGCACAGAGCAACCACAGCAGGGAGGAAGCACCGTTAGCTCTCCCCTAGCACAGAGTGGCCATCCCATGCTGGGGCCAATGGTCAGATGGCACTCGGTGTGCCTGCCCTGAGCCCTACATGGGGCTGTTAGGAAGCTGCACACCCACCCAGCTGTGCAGCTGAGAGGGAACTTGAGTAGCTGGTATATCTGCTGAAGAGGATCCAGGGGTCAGCTCACTTACTGAACAGGAGTCAATGGGATGCAGCTGTAAAAGAGGTGAATGTGTTACAAGGCAGACATGGTAGGTAAGTGTCCTAGTTTTCCTGGCTCTATGAGACCTTAGCTGAGTGCTCTGCCTAGCTCTGGATACAATACTTCTAAAAATGTGGACAAATTAGAGAGCACGTGCCCACAGGAGAGCAAGAAAACGATAAAGGTTTAGAAAACTCAATCTGCGAGGAAAGGTTAAATAAATTGGGGTTGTTTAATCTTCAGAAAAGATGGCTAATGGGCAGGGCTCGACAAATAGTGTAATCTACTCGCTCGTGGCGAGCAGATTACACCCCGGAAGAGCCGGCGCGGAGCACAGAACCGCGCGGCTGGCGAGCCCAGCTAATGGGGGATCCCTGTAATAGTCCATTAAAGAGCTATTCCAAAGAGGATGGCGATCGGTGAAATTGTCCACAGGTTAAGAAGTGATGCTTGTAAACTGCAGCAAGGAAGCTTTCAGAATGTACATACATAACGATGGCTAGACTAGGTCAGACCAGTGGCTCATCTAGTCCAGTGTCCAGTTTTCTGACTGGTGGCAGATGCTTCAGAGGGAATGAACAAGGAAGACAATTTATTAATTCATCCATGTCATCTAGTCTGAACTTCAGGGACTCAGAGACTAGGGACACCCAAAGCAAAGGGTGGCATCCCTTACCATCTTGGGCAAATAGCCATTGGTGATCTAGCCTCCATACATTTATCAAATTCTTTTCTGAATTATACAAGTTACAGTTTTGGATTTCATAACATCCCCTGGCAAGGAGTTCCACAAGTTGACTACATTGCATTACGTTTTTTCGCTTGTTTGTTATAAACATATTGCCTATTAATCCCATTGATGACCCCCATGTACATATGTTATATGAAGGAGTAAATCACACTTCCTGATTCTCTCTCTCATTTCTCCATGCCATTCATGAGTTTATAGACATCTATTACATCCCTCTGAGGGTCTGTCTTCACTATAGGGTGGATCCACGCCGCAGCAATTGATCCACTGGCACTCAATTTATTGATCTGCTTAGATATGATAAATCGACTTAGGAGTGCTCTCCGGTCGAGTCCAGTACTCCACACCAGGATGAGAAGAATAGCTAGAGTTGACAGAAGAGCAGCTCCCACTGACTTTATCACATGGAAGACACCCATGGCACGTGTGTCAACTTCAGCTACACAGTTTGCATAGCTGAAGTTGCATAGGTTACACTGCTGCAGACTGGGCCTTTGTCATCTCTTTTCTAAGCTGAACAGCCCAAGTCTTTTACTCCCCTCTCACGTGGAGCTTGTTCCATACCCCTCATTATTTCTGTCGTCTTCTCCCCTTTCCAGTTCTTATGTAACTTTTTTTTCCAGATAGGGAGACTAAAAGTGCATGGGGAATTCAAAATGTGAATGGACCACAGGCTTAGATAGTGGCATTGTTATCTTTTCTATTTTATTATCTTTTCTATTTGTTCCAAACACGGTTAGCTTTTGACTGCTGTCAGAGAGCCTAAACTAATTTAGACCCCATCATTTTAAATGTACACTTGGAATTATGTTTTCCAATATGTCCTACTCAGAGTTTATCAACATTGAATTTCACCTTCCATTTTGCTGCCCAGTCACTCAGTTTTGTGAGATCCCTTTGTAATCTTTGCAGTCAGCTTTGGACTTTTACTATCTTGAGTAATTCTGTAGCATCTGCAAATAATGCCACCTCAAGTTATACCCCTTTTCAAATCTCATTTATGACTACATTGGACAGCACAAGTCCCATGACAGACCCTTGAGACCACTAGTTACCCCTCTCCACTGTGAAAACTATCCCTTGAACTAGAAAGGGAAGTTCTGGAATAGGCTCCCCAGGGACGTTGTGGAATTGCCTTACTAAAGATGAGGCTAGAAAACCCTGCGTCAAGGATGCTCTTAGGCAGGTCTGGTCCTGCCTCAGGGTAGGTGGCTGGATTAGGTGACCTCCTCCAGTACCTTCCAGCCTGACATTTCTGTGATTCTGTGACCTCGACAATAGCCACCTTCCCCCCGTCCCTTTTCTGAATTGGAAGCAGCTGACGTGCAGGTTCCTGATCTCCTGCAGCTAATGCACCGAAGGAGGAGGGGGCAAATAGGCACTTACATGAGAGCTTCGATGGATTTTGGCTTGATGAAAATGGCAATAGGGTAAAGTTGTGCTTGTTGCAACCTCTTGATGGCATTGCCAGACACGTCCAGGATGCAATGCTTCCCCTGGAAGGGCATGAGGGGACCAGTGTCATTCAATCACACCTACCTCTGGCTTCCCATTTCTGAGCGCAGCCTGGAGCAGGAAGACAAGGGATGGAATATGCCAATCCCAAGATATAGGCCACGCCCCAGCATGGACAGAATTTCCTGACCAACAGGGGCAGGGTGGCAGTACCCAGAAGGGACTGGGGCTTCCTTTCAATAGCCAGGACACTGACGACAAACCCGCAATGGACTCTCATGCTCTGAGCACAGAACATTTCTGTTCTCGATCCACTGCAAAGGACCTCGGCACCTGCGCTTGTGAAGATCAAGCAGACACTGCTGCTGCAATGTGCCTTGCTAGCCCAGAACATCTGCCTGGAAAGGATGGGCAGGTCTGGGGGTAAAGCACTGGGCAGTCTGGGCTGGATTCGTGGATCTGTGGGACTAGGCCATATGACTTGGCAGGAATCCCTGCCTGAGAAGCTCTTGCTCCACACGTAGCAACATGGCTACAATGGCTGCAGACAGAATAGGATGAGACATCATTTGGGTGAACTGCAGGCTTCCCTGGGGACTGCATGTTTATACTCACTCTCTCTGCAACTGCCCGAACCGACTGGATACTGGTCCCATAGAGATTGTCATTGAACTGCCCAGCCTCTATGAACTTGTTGTCCTGAATATCTTTCTCCATCTGTTCTCGGGATGCCACAAAGTGATAGTCCTGCCCATCCACCTCATTCTCACGCCGAGGCCTGGTAGTGTCTGAAAGAGAAGGGTTCCATGAGTCAGAGCTCCCCAGCTTCCGCAACCTCCCTCCACCAAAGCTCAGCCCACACCTACAGCAACCTTGGCCCCTCTCCAGAGCACCCCTCTGCCTAGCGCTGAGTCAGAACCCCCGACAACAAACACCAACACTTACGCGGCACACAGGAGCCAAACTTGTGTGGAAACTCGGAAATCAGGTCATCGTTGACTCGGTCTTTCATTGGCCCCAGGATGATCACTGGCCTCGCATAGTGAACTGGAAACAAGAAAAGCCATGCCCCTGAGGCTGAGTCTCTAACCCCAGTAGCCTCCCACACACTTGCTGTGGAATACTTGTGGTCCACACAGGGCGGCCATTCGCACCGCGGCTCACGCTGGCGGTCCACACAGGGCGGCCATTCGCACCGCGGCTCACGCTGGCGGTCCACACAGGGCGGCCATTCGCACCGCGGCTCACGCTGGCGGTCCACACAGGGCGGCCATTCGCACCGCGGCTCACGCTGGCGGTCCACACAGGGCGGCCATTCGCACCGCGGCTCACGCTGGCGGTCCACACAGGGCGGCCATTCGCACCGCGGCTCACGCTGGCGGTCCACACAGGGCGGCCATTCGCACCGCGGCTCACGCTGGCGGTCCACACAGGGCGGCCATTCGCACCGCGGCTCACGCTGGCGGTCCACACAGGGCGGCCATTCGCACCGCGGCTCACGCTGGCGGTCCACACAGGGCGGCCATTCGCACCGCGGCTCACGCTGGCGGTCCACACAGGGCGGCCATTCGCACCGCGGCTCACGCTGGCGGTCCACACAGGGCGGCCATTCGCACCGCGGCTCACGCTGGCGGTCCACACAGGGCGGCCATTCGCACCGCGGCTCACGCTGGCGGTCCACACAGGGCGGCCATTCGCACCGCGGCTCACGCTGGCGGTCCACACAGGGCGGCCATTCGCACCGCGGCTCACGCTGGCGGTCCACACAGGGCGGCCATTCGCACCGCGGCTCACGCTGGCGGTCCACACAGGGCGGCCATTCGCACCGCGGCTCACGCTGGCGGTCCACACAGGGCGGCCATTCGCACCGCGGCTCACGCTGGCGGTCCACACAGGGCGGCCATTCGCACCGCGGCTCACGCTGGCGGTCCACACAGGGCGGCCATTCGCACCGCGGCTCACGCTGGCGGCTTTGCAGTCAGCTTTGGACTTTTACTATCTTGAGTAATTCTGTAGCATCTGCAAATAATGCCACCTCAAGTTATACCCCTTTTCAAATCTCATTTATGACTACATTGGACAGCACAAGTCCCATGACAGACCCTTGAGACCACTAGTTACCCCTCTCCACTGTGAAAACTATCCCTTGAACTAGAAAGGGAAGTTCTGGAATAGGCTCCCCAGGGACGTTGTGGAATTGCCTTACTAAAGATGAGGCTAGAAAACCCTGCGTCAAGGATGCTCTTAGGCAGGTCTGGTCCTGCCTCAGGGTAGGTGGCTGGATTAGGTGACCTCCTCCAGTACCTTCCAGCCTGACATTTCTGTGATTCTGTGACCTCGACAATAGCCACCTTCCCCCCGTCCCTTTTCTGAATTGGAAGCAGCTGACGTGCAGGTTCCTGATCTCCTGCAGCTAATGCACCGAAGGAGGAGGGGGCAAATAGGCACTTACATGAGAGCTTCGATGGATTTTGGCTTGATGAAAATGGCAATAGGGTAAAGTTGTGCTTGTTGCAACCTCTTGATGGCATTGCCAGACACGTCCAGGATGCAATGCTTCCCCTGGAAGGGCATGAGGGGACCAGTGTCATTCAATCACACCTACCTCTGGCTTCCCATTTCTGAGCGCAGCCTGGAGCAGGAAGACAAGGGATGGAATATGCCAATCCCAAGATATAGGCCACGCCCCAGCATGGACAGAATTTCCTGACCAACAGGGGCAGGGTGGCAGTACCCAGAAGGGACTGGGGCTTCCTTTCAATAGCCAGGACACTGACGACAAACCCGCAATGGACTCTCATGCTCTGAGCACAGAACATTTCTGTTCTCGATCCACTGCAAAGGACCTCGGCACCTGCGCTTGTGAAGATCAAGCAGACACTGCTGCTGCAATGTGCCTTGCTAGCCCAGAACATCTGCCTGGAAAGGATGGGCAGGTCTGGGGGTAAAGCACTGGGCAGTCTGGGCTGGATTCGTGGATCTGTGGGACTAGGCCATATGACTTGGCAGGAATCCCTGCCTGAGAAGCTCTTGCTCCACACGTAGCAACATGGCTACAATGGCTGCAGACAGAATAGGATGAGACATCATTTGGGTGAACTGCAGGCTTCCCTGGGGACTGCATGTTTATACTCACTCTCTCTGCAACTGCCCGAACCGACTGGATACTGGTCCCATAGAGATTGTCATTGAACTGCCCAGCCTCTATGAACTTGTTGTCCTGAATATCTTTCTCCATCTGTTCTCGGGATGCCACAAAGTGATAGTCCTGCCCATCCACCTCATTCTCACGCCGAGGCCTGGTAGTGTCTGAAAGAGAAGGGTTCCATGAGTCAGAGCTCCCCAGCTTCCGCAACCTCCCTCCACCAAAGCTCAGCCCACACCTACAGCAACCTTGGCCCCTCTCCAGAGCACCCCTCTGCCTAGCGCTGAGTCAGAACCCCCGACAACAAACACCAACACTTACGCGGCACACAGGAGCCAAACTTGTGTGGAAACTCGGAAATCAGGTCATCGTTGACTCGGTCTTTCATTGGCCCCAGGATGATCACTGGCCTCGCATAGTGAACTGGAAACAAGAAAAGCCATGCCCCTGAGGCTGAGTCTCTAACCCCAGTAGCCTCCCACACACTTGCTGTGGAATACTTGTGGTCCACACAGGGCGGCCATTCGCACCGCGGCTCACGCTGGCGGTCCACACAGGGCGGCCATTCGCACCGCGGCTCACGCTGGCGGTCCACACAGGGCGGCCATTCGCACCGCGGCTCACGCTGGCGGTCCACACAGGGCGGCCATTCGCACCGCGGCTCACGCTGGCGGTCCACACAGGGCGGCCATTCGCACCGCGGCTCACGCTGGCGGTCCACACAGGGCGGCCATTCGCACCGCGGCTCACGCTGGCGGTCCACACAGGGCGGCCATTCGCACCGCGGCTCACGCTGGCGGTCCACACAGGGCGGCCATTCGCACCGCGGCTCACGCTGGCGGTCCACACAGGGCGGCCATTCGCACCGCGGCTCACGCTGGCGGTCCACACAGGGCGGCCATTCGCACCGCGGCTCACGCTGGCGGTCCACACAGGGCGGCCATTCGCACCGCGGCTCACGCTGGCGGTCCACACAGGGCGGCCATTCGCACCGCGGCTCACGCTGGCGGTCCACACAGGGCGGCCATTCGCACCGCGGCTCACGCTGGCGGTCCACACAGGGCGGCCATTCGCACCGCGGCTCACGCTGGCGGTCCACACAGGGCGGCCATTCGCACCGCGGCTCACGCTGGCGGTCCACACAGGGCGGCCATTCGCACCGCGGCTCACGCTGGCGGTCCACACAGGGCGGCCATTCGCACCGCGGCTCACGCTGGCGGTCCACACAGGGCGGCCATTCGCACCGCGGCTCACGCTGGCGGTCCACACAGGGCGGCCATTCGCACCGCGGCTCACGCTGGCGGTCCACACAGGGCGGCCATTCGCACCGCGGCTCACGCTGGCGGTCCACACAGGGCGGCCATTCGCACCGCGGCTCACTTGCAAAGCTTTCAGATCTACCCAAGGGCAGAACCATTCCCATTCTAAAACAAGGGCACTTTTCTCATGCACGTGGAGACAATTTCTAGAGACTGGTCTTTGGGCACAGCCCACAGAACACACCAGCAACTCTCAGGAAGAGCACAGAATGGAAAACTGGTGCTTACACCTCCTCTCTGACATGCCGCTGCACGCGCTTTCCTGTGCGCTCCTCCAAGTGTAGGAGGCTGGGATCGTGGTGTGAGTGCAGGGTAGGAATGCACCTCCTCTCCCAGCCGTGCTGCTGGCACTTACACCCCGTGTCTGGAGAACACAACCTGTTCTGCTGCGGCTGAAGAGCTAGCGAACTGGCGGCTCCCCGGTGAACAACGTGCAGGGTGCTCTCAGCTCTGACTCCAGGCACTTACGCTCATGGGCGGGAGACGCAGAGCAGAAGAGACCAGGCGGGTTCACGGCAGTGGCAGTTTTATAGCCAGAGTTTTGAGTGTTTGCACTGGCCAGAGGCCCGTGGCGAGCAGAGTCTGCAGGCAGAGGCAGCCAAGTGCCCCTCCTGTTTTCACTGGATGCCTCGCAGCCCCCCGGTTTCCTGGCCTCCCAGAGCAGCAGCTGGCATGTGCCTGAGGCTAGATTCTGGTGCTGGCTGGAGATGCAAGGTCTGATGAAGGTGGCGGGAAAGCAGGCTGGTAGGGCCCCCCCAGCCTGTCCCCAGCCAACAGAGCGCTGCTGTAGCGGCATTTTACGCTGCCCCGTCTGCTCCCTCCCAGGAGGGTACGGCCGCGCTGCTGAGGGGGAGCGAAAGGGGCTGTAAAATAGGCCCAGGGCTCTCAGCCACTGCTGCTGCAGCACCCTTCAAATCACACCAGGAACCCTGGGGCTCCTGCCGTGGCAACCACGAAGGCCAAAGGCTGGCTGGGGCAGTCTGGCCCCGCCTCTGCTCACACTGGAGTCCCGGCCCCCCAGACACCCCGGCATAGGGGTAAATCCTGGATTAAGAAGCGCCAATGCACAAGCCAGGACTCCGGACCCCAGCCATACTCACTCTCTTGCCGTGTCACCGGTTCATACGACAGGATAGTGTCCTCTTGTCCTTCTGGAACAGAGCCAGGGAGAAGCAGGTGAGTGTCTGCAGGGGCTTCTCCTGCCTCAACCCTGTGCTCCCAGGGAGCAGCATGAAGGAAACAGGCAGCCAGGAGCCGCCATACGCGGGTGTCCAAAGGCCTCTGGATTACCCACATTGCTGGACAGCACAGTGCAGCGGAGAGGCCCAGCCTGCAGTGCTGCAGAGCAGCCTTCCCATTCTGCCTGTCCCAGGAAGAGCTAACAGTACCTGCAGGGTCATTCCCACCCGCTGGCGGGGGCTCCACTCAGCCCAGGCGGCCCAGGCAGTCTCTTCACGGCCACTTGTCCCAGACACGCGAGGAGCTCTTTGCAGTCTCTCCCCCAGAGTCTCTTCCCAGGGCTGCCCCCAGCCAGCAGGTAACCTGGCCAATGTTTGCGTTGAGGAGCCTACTCCAGGCACCTTGGAGTCAGGACGGACCGGCAGGGCCACCTCAGCCTTCCTCCTTTCTGGCTAGCTGTGTGGAATCCGTCCCTCTCCGGTGGGGGGGCCACAGCCCCACCCCCACCTGCTCTGCGCAGCCATTCCACAGGCCCGGCACTTTTGCTGTGCGGGGTGCCACCTATTTCCCACCCTCCATCTGTGGATGCAGGCTAGGCCCTGCGGGGCTGGGCCCTGCCCTGCTTGTACACACTGCTTCACTTCTGAGCTGCCCGGCTGGCACCAGTGCGTTCGGCTCAGATCACCTTGGCAGGGTGAACTGGGGACACAGCAGGGCAGCAGCAGTTCCTGGCAGGTCGAACAAGGGGACAGAAACCTCGGGCAGAGCGAGCATTATCGTGGAAACCGAAGCTGTGGGTGGCCTGCAGAGATCTTCCTCTCAGAGCACAAGAGACCTATGGGCTTGGCTCCAGGGGCTGCAAGGCACCCAAAAGCCAGAGTTGCCTTGGGGAAGAATCCTCAGCTGGGACAGATCACAGGGAGAATCCTTCCACCTCCTAGTACCCATGTCGCTGTATCCCGCTGGAAGGAACCTGGAGAGGTCGTCAAGTCCAGTCCCCTGCCCTCACGGCAGGACCAAGCACCATCTAGACCATCCTGACGGGTGTGTCTAACTTGCTCTTAACTATCTCCAGAGATGGGGATTCCACAACCCCCCTGGGCAATTTATTCCAGTGTGTCACCACCCTGACAGGCAGGAAGTTTTCCCCAACGTCCAACCTCAACCTCCCTTGCTGCAGTTGAAGCCCATTGCTGCTTGTCCTGTCCTCAGAGGTTAAGAACAGTTCTCCCCCTGCCTAGTCACAACCTTTTAGGGACTTGAAAGCTATTGCATCCCTCTCATGCTGCTCTTTTCAGACTAAACAAACCCAGTTCTTTCAATCTTCCCACATAGCTCATGTTCTCTAGACCTTTCATCATACCCGTTGCTCTTCCCTTGACCCTCGCCAATTTCTCTCCAATTTCCTGCAGCGTAGTGCCCAGAACTGGACACAGTCTCCAGTTGAGGCCTAATCAGTGCAGGGTGGAGTGGAAGAATGACTCCTCGTGTCTCTCTTGCTCATAATGCCCCTGTTAATACAGCCCAGGATGAGGTTTGCGGGTTTTGCAACAGTGGCACTCCGCTGACCCCCAGATCCCTTTCGGCAATACTGCCCAGGTAGTGCTCTCCCATTCGGTGTGCGCAGCTGGTTATTCCGGGCTAACAGCAGTACTTGGCATTTCTTCTTCCTGAATCCTTATCCATACTGCTACCTAGTCCCGGCAGAAAAGCTGCCATCCCCTTGAGGGAGCTGGCCACAGCATCTCTAGGACCTTCAGCTGAGTGGCCAAAGGAAGCATCGGCCTCCGAACAGGGAACACCACGGGCACAACAGAGAATGAAGACGCTTAGCACACACAGGGGCGAAGACACGGGGAGAGACACACTTACTGGAACTGCTCTCGCTGTCACTGGTGTTTGACGTCACGCCCTCTGCAAACCAACAAGAAAAAGACGCCAATTCAGAACACGCGCAGCCAGGAGCTCACAAAAGGTGCGTGGGGTAGGAGACAGTCACCAAACGCTAGTGGCCACAGGACACAGGGAGAGGAGATGGGCAAGCCCCACAGCTGATCACAGCGTGCTGACCCAATGAGATTTGTCGCAGATTCAGCCTGTCCCCAGGGGCTACACTCAAACTGGCATTTCCAGGTGCACAGCCCCACTAGCAGGTAGATTTCAAGGCTCCTCTGTCAGTAGCTGTGGCAGGGATATCCAGTGCGGTGCACTTGGGGCACCGTGGCAAGTGTCAAAAGAAGGTGGGAATGCCAGAGGCAAGGCTTCCTTTCCCTGTAGCCTGTAGGCATGAACTTACGGCTAGCTGGCTCCCTTTCCCCAGGCTGGAAAGCTCTATCCTGGCATCAGACACGGCCTACCCTGGTAAGGCACCAGGTCTCATCCTGCATCATCTCCAAGAGCAGGGAGCTGCCCCCATGAAGGATCCAGCATGAACTAGACAGAGGGCTGATGCCCGCCGGCAGTCCAGTCGGTTTCCAAGTCCCAGCTGGCCAGGTGCCATGTGGGGCTGGGAGGTGGGAGGGAGGAGGGTGGCTGCTGAAGCACACAGACACACCAGCACAAACCCTAAGCGAGGTGTAATCTGACCGGGGGTGCGGCAGGACTCACAGAGACAAGACACTGACGAGACGGAACAGAGTTCGGGGCCTTGCTTGTTTAAGCCATTTCCGATGCTGCAGACACCGCGGCCTGCTCCCTTCGGTGTGGGGAGCCAGGGTGCGGAGATCGCCTCCCCAGCGGAGTCTGTGTCACAGCTCAGGGCACGTGCGCAAGCACCGGAGCAGGCAGGCAGCACAGTGACACAGCTCCCTGCTTCAGGAAGAGCCAGCAGCCCCAGTCACTGGGCCCTGACTGCAAGCCAGGAGCAGCTGCCAATGCAACCAGGACACATACTCATCTGGGCTGGCATTCAACCCGAGAGCCAGCTGGAGCTAAGCTCCAGCTGTGACCACCAGCCTGTGGAGGACACAGTGCGGCTCCCCCTGCCATCAGCACAGGGGAATTCTAACTCCATGCAGCAGGCACAAGAGGCTGTTCTACCTCTCCTGGGGGGACGGAGCGCTCCCTTAAGCCTAGCCCCCACCACCTCCACTGCCTGGTGCCACACATCAAGAGCAGCCTTCACTCCCAGCGCCTGGATCCCAGCCTCCCCCGGAAACACCGCCAGACATGCCAGAAATGGAGAGTGAACAATGCGCATTTAAATGACTTACTCAGGTTCTTTGCTCCATAATAATCGTCACTTAACCCAGGGAAGTCCTGATTTCAGAGCCCGCAGGAAGGGGCAGAGAGCCAGAGAGGGGAGTAAGAGAGAGGGAGAGGAAGAAGACAGAGCCAGGTGAACATTAGTGACAGGAGTGCAGAACAGCTGAGAGCTGCAATTGCAAGTGAGGTTACACAATTCAAAAGCATCTTTCTGGGGCAGGCAACGCATCCAGCCGTCACACTGCCGACCCGAGCAGCGTCCTCTCACCAAGCCAATGGCCGTCTCAGGGCCTCCAACCTGCCTCACAGGGCCTGCAGGCCACCTGCTCGCGGAACACACTCGGGGAAGGTGCCTGCAAAGGAAGAGCTGGCCCTGGAGCAGCCCAAGTGAACTGTTCCAATCCCGGAGGCAGGGAGGCCTTCCCAAGAACGTCCCTGGCTGCATCTCCCACTCCAGGTGACTGAGGGCCCTAGAGCCCTCTGCCCACACCCGTGCCCTGGTACACTCCAGGCTTAGCCTTGAAAGGGCTGAGCAGTTCAAACCCCTTGGCAGCTCCCCGAGGGAGCACCCAGGGCAAACACTGCTCCCTAACCAGCACATCAGAAGTGGCTTCAGAGCACGTCTACACAGCAGGGCTAAGGTGGAATTAAGCTATGTAATTTCAGCTGTGTCAATTGCACAGCTGACATTGAACTAGCTTAACTTGGCTTTGGGCGCTGTCTACGCAGCGCACTTCCACTTCCCTTACTCCTCGGGAAAGGAGGGTTCCAGGGCTCGGAGTCAGAAGTCCTGCAGCTCATCGTTATTTCGAAATACAGGCTTGCAGTGTAGACATGCTCCTTGTTATTCCACAACAATGCTGCTGTGCAGACGTTTCCTTAGTGGAGCGCTGTGAAGCATTTCAAGGCGGAGACTGGCTACAAGTAGCTAAGAGGAACAGACAAGGAATGGGGTCCCCACGGCATGCTCACCGGGAGCTGGCTGAGGCTGGGCCTTCAAACAGACTAGAGCGCCACAGGCAGGAAGCAAATCCCCTTTGGTCACAAAGCTGATTATGTTCAATTGCCTGGTGCTGCCCTCTGCAAGCAAACTGTCAACCCCCTTTTCCCCAGATGATCCCAGATCACAAACCCGTCCAGGAGGGAAAGCAGAAAACCAACCCCCCTTCCCAGGGACTCTCCCAGACATGGCTCCCACTCCCCCACCAATACCACAGCCACCGGTGCCGGGCATGCTGGGGAGCCGTGAGGGGACGCTAAGTTCACAACTTGCTGGCAAAACTGGAGGAGCCTCGAGGGGGGGGCCTCCCCCCCAGAGGGGTCTGTGCATTCGGTTCGCCAGCGCAGCCTGGCTCCTACCTAAGGACACTGCAGCCACACGTGCAGATGCATCTAGCAAGCGCGCTGGGCAGCCACAGCACCAGCCATCCGCGGCCAGAGGCCCCGGAGCATGCAGATGCACACGCGGCTGTCAGGGCCAGGAAGAAACGAGGCATGCCAGACACCCCCCCCCAGACATCTGCAGGCCTGTTCGGCAGGCTGGGCACTGAACGCCTGTGAAAGCCTGGCCCCTCTCCCCATAGACAGAGACCAAGCCAAGCTGCCGTAAGAGCTTGGGATCCCAGACTCTCCGTGTGGGACACAGCATGGCCCTGCCTCCTGTCCTACCTGCGAGGACCACAGCTGTCTGCAGGACAAGGCCAGCGGAGCCACCAATACCTCACTAGAGCGGCTGACGTTCAGCCAGCTCGCAGCCCAGGCTAAGAGCCCTCCCTCACGTGGACTGCCAGCAAGGAGCGGGTTTGCAGGGGGAGCCCGGCAGTTCCCCAGAGGAGCATGGTCCAGCCCCTCCCTGGCTGAAGGGAAGAGCCTGGCGTGCAGAGCCCTTGCTCCTAGACAGTGCGGTTCTCACCACGCGCTCACCTCAGCTTTTACCCTGGAGAGAACACGCAGGGGGAGAGCAGCCTGACAGCCCTGGGCTCTGCGCCTTCACCCCACCACACCCAGCACGGAGTGGGGACTGAGCCGAGGTCCCGGATCCCAGCCACAGGCCCGAGCCAGGGTTTGTCCTTGTGGCGCTGCCCAGCTCCACGTGGGAAGCTGCTCTCCCCGGTCTTCCAGCAAGGAGTGTGCACGAGGCGGTTCACTGGGGCCACGGAGGGAGCTGTCCCTCCCACAGCTGCAATTCCTCCATGGCCGAGCCAAGCACAGAGCAGCTCTGCAGACGGCGGGACTGGCCCAGAGGTGCCTCTGGAGCAGGTGACGTGGCTGGACTCGCTATGCCTAATGGGTTGGTAGCTGAGCAGTGCCAGGCTCAGCAGGGACAGCAAGGGACACGGTGCCCCCCACTCCCACTTCAACACAAGCCTGGAGTTCCATATTCCCTCACCTCATTCTGAGCGCAGGGAGAGGCAGAGGGGCCCCAGGGCACATGAGAAGGCAGAGCCCTGGGGGGAGCATGTGAGGAGGGAGGAGCAGGGGAGGCAGAGTCCCTGGCACACCAGGGAGAGCAGAGGAAGACAGAACAGAGGGTTGATCACGTGCTGAGAAGCTGTGAAAGGATGAAAACAGCGAACTGAGTGTGCACCAGCTGCTCTCCATCACCTGGGCCTTGGCCAGAGGCGGCTCGACTGGCAGCAGCTGGGAGAGGCAGTTGTGCGAGCGAAGGGAGGAGAAACTAGCAGAGACGCCCTCACTAGCGGCCGGCCGGGGCTGTGGCAGGGCGCTCGCCATTCATCCCTGTCATCTCAGCCAAGGCTGCCGTGGCCCCTGGCCTGGAGCCGCACGGCGGGAATCTCAACCTGCACCACGGCCAGGCAGCGGCAGCAGCTGCCTGAGGCTGGGAAACCCATCAGCCTGCTCTGCCTGCGGATCCACTTCCGACCTCGGCAGCTCTCAAGAGGGCAGAGTCCGGCGCAAAGGGATTGCTTGGCCGGGAAGCGCAGAGGAAGCAGGCGCTGGGCCTGCGCACTTTGCCCTCTCTGGCCAGCTGCTACTTACGTTCCTGTCCGCTGCTCTCCTGGGCCAGGTTCTCTTTGCTCTTGTAAAATGGAAACTTTCGGGAGAGGCGGAAACTCTTTTTACGTTTCGTTTTGCTCGACTGCGAAGAACATGGAGATGGAAGGGAGGACAGAAAAAACAATGGCATTTAACGCATGCACAGAAATTAAAATGAAGAGACAATGAGGGTCTGTGCAGGGCAATCGCCCGCAAATGAAATCGTGGAGATTACATGGAAACTACAATGCAGGAGAGAAATTAAGCGGAGAGAAAAAATGTTGCAGGGATGCCGGAAGGTCAACTACCCAACCCACTTTCCACAGGAGTGAAGCCACGTCCCTAAGCAGCCCCCTTCCTCGGCTGAAGCGTGGCCAGCGATCGGCAAGGCTCTGACTCCAGCCACCCATCCTGGGAAGCTGCATGCGCTTGCGCAGGGCTGAGCTGAGCCCAGAGGTTTTGTGATGCACCTTCTGCTCATGAGTGATCCAGGGCGCGACCAGCAGCGTACGGGGCCACACGCAGCATCACAGGGAGGTTCTGCTCCAAGCTTGCGTGTCTGTCCGAATCGGGACACCGCTCCAGGCTGCCAGCTCCGCAGACCCACAGCCAAGCCCACACTGTCCTGGCCTCCCCAGCTCCACTCAGGCATGCTCTGGCTGACACGATGCCAGCCCCTCCAGCTGCTGCCTCGAGCCAGCCCCTGCGCCCCAGCTCTGCACTTACCCTGTTGGACTCAATCATCCCAGTCCGGGCATGGAACTTCACTGTTTTCAATCGTGCTCGCTCCTTCTTTTCCACCCTGATGAGAATCCACAGGGAGAAAGCCTAGTTTGTGTGTGCACAGCTTGCTGCCCGGGTCGATGCCTGCTGGGCAGCAGGGCCCCTCTGCCCCGTCCATGGAACAACGCCCGTGAAGAGGCAGGGCTAGCTGGGGGGAGCCACACTTGGAGGGGGCTCTGGGCTATCAAGCAGAGTCTAACCAGCACCAGAAAGCTTGGGGGTGGGAGCCAGTGGGCAGCCCAGTCCTGGCCCAGCTGATCAACTGGCCCGCCTGCCCAGCACGAAGATCCCCTGGGGGAAGGGAGGGCGGGGGCTGCCCCAGAGAGCCGAACTGACACGTGGGGCCAGGGCTCACAGCAGAAGGTGAGGACACAGGGCCTTCCCCTCCCCCAGCTGGTCCCCTGGCATTAGCAATAGGGTTTGTGCCAGGTCACAGCCCCCTGCTTGCAGAGGCTGAACTCTGCCCAGGCCTTCACCCCGCTGCCCTAGAAGCACCATCTCGGTCGGGGCAGACCCTCCTCTTCCCCCAGCAAGCGGCTCCGGTTCTGCCTGCGAAGGCTGGGCCCCG